TATATTTTCCAACCAATATTTATTGAGCCTTTCTAAGGCCATTATTCTATGAACCTGAATACATAAAAAGACATAAAATGCCATTTCTGGTACCCATTCAGGACCCTTAAGTTGATGGAATGAACAAAAGAAAGATGGTGGCAGAGAGAGAGAGAGAGAGAGAGAGGAAGGAAGAAAAGAAGGAATCCAATAAGAGAAAAAGTATATCCACAAAAAGAAATACAAAATTCGTTGGCATGGGCCACGTGTGTAATGAGCAGTCTGGATTAAAAACAAAAAGTAAAAAAAAAAATTTACCTTGTAATGTTGCATGCCTCTGTTCAAAATATTTGTCTTGTATTTTTTTCCTATAATATTCTTGGCAATAAGTGTTAAACTAATGTCTTAAAACAGCTAATTTTGAAATCTTATTTTTTAAGAAGAGAATGTTATTTGTCAGTAGTAAAATAAAACATAGAAAGCTCTCTAATATTGTTCACATATTTGTGTGCTCTAAGCTTAAAATTTAGATTAAAATCCAAACGCATTTTCCTTTTAGCTCTTGTTGAAAGGATCATTATGTAAACTGTTCGAACCATTACTTGTTTAAACAAGTTTTAGAATGAATTAAAAAAAAATGTTTGTACAGGCAGGTTCTTTGTCGTATGAATCATTTGCCTTTGTAAGTTTGAAGATAAAAACCAGAATTTCAGAACAGTTAAAAACTTTGGAGGACAAATGTTATTTTTTTCAAGGACAGCTATTAATTTTAGTTTAGAAGTCAATATTTTTTGATTGATTTGACCCAAATCAGTTTTGTTTTCTTGTGGGCCTTTTTTTTTTTTTAAACATGACATCTTTCATTTTCCTTGTCACTGAAATGGATTTAAAACGTGAACTTTGAGCTTGTTAGTTAAATTCCCACCATGGTTTAAAATCTCTGCACCCCAACATTTATATGTACCAGTACTGAAAAGTTCTTTGAGGCCAGCGATTTTTTTAAAATCTTCCTAAGCTTGTTAAATAAGTACATTTATTTAAAAACTATTTCTTCACCTATGATATAATCTTGCATTTTCCCATTCACTGTATGAACTGAAGAGAAAACTTCACTGCCATGAAGACAGAACAGACTTTTATATTATTCTCAGTAGGACTGAGTTTGTTTGGTAGTTTTATGACACAGAGTTACAGAAGAGTGAGCTAAAGAAATCTTAAGTATCATCTAGGCTAACAGATGAGAAAACCCAGGTCTAGACATTTCTGATATTAAAAAAAAAAGTTCTGGAATAGTTTTTTTTTTTTTAAAGATTTTATTTATTTAGTTGAGAGAGAGAATGAGAGAGAGAGAGAGAGAGCACATGAGAGGCAGGGAGGGTCAGAGGGAGAAGCAGACTCCCCGCCCCTGAGCAGGGAGCCCAGTGCGGGACTCGATCCCGAGACTCCAGGATCATGATCTGAGCCGGAGGCAGTCGCTTAACCAACTGAGCCTCCCCAAGTTCTGGAATTGTTACGTGGTCAATAAAAAAATATGATCTGACTTAGGAAATTGTGAATGGCGCACAACTGTAAAAAAACACACGTGTTCCCCGAAGCCAGCTGTCCGGGCTGAAGGATCCAGCACTGCACACGTTTGAGTGCCTGACGCTGGACGGACTCCATGAGTCACAATCCTTTTGCCCGCACTGCCTCCTTGATTTAAGTACAGCCATTTCTGCGTGGATCCTCCCTTGGGCCAAAGACACTCACACTGAACGTGAAAGTAGATTCTCTTTTCCCCAGTCACCAAACCTCAGTGTGTCCGAGTTTCCCTTCCTCTGTCTGGTTTTGATCGACCGACCTATGAGAAAAAGTGTACAACCGGTTCCCTTTCTCACCTAGCTCTGTGTCCAGAGGTTGTTCTCAGCCACACCTCGGACCGAAGTGAGAGTCTTACAGATGAAAGATGGGATGCGTGGATTTTGCTTTAAGAGCCAGACGAAGTCTTGAGAAGTTGTGTGTCAGATGGAATTTGGTTAAGTAGATCATATTTTCCTATAGACAAAGAGCAAGGCCAAAGATTCTTCATTACATTGTTCTAACACTTAGCTTTTCCTTTTTTGTTGACCCTTAAAAAATTAGATCTTTGTGCATTTCTCTTTCCTGTATTGTTTTTAATCTATTCAATTAATTGCCAAGCAACACATACAGGGTTTTAGCGGACATCTAGGGCATGTGTGGTGAACATAGGCAGGTCCTTTAGTGAAGCATGAAGAAGTCTTTTTAGAATTATCAGCAACATATGAAGTTGCCTGGGTTTTTCTGTTTTGTTTTGTTTTAAGTTCAGATGTATGTAGGGGAGAGGAAGCAGTTTAGATGGCATCTAAATTTATAGAGATGTCAACCACTCTCTAGAGAATGTCTTCTAAAAGGAGGAGGGGACAAAAAAAATGTAGAAGTCCACCAGTATTTTAAGCCAACATTTAACTTCCTCACCTCCCTTTTTGCTGGATACAATTCATTTCTGTGTCATGTAACTAATAGTTGGTTTCCAAGAAGCTGGTGAGTTTTATATTTTGTTGTCAAATGAATTTAGAATTTAGTGTCATAAACTCACTCTTAAAAAGACTTGTATGTACCCTGTGGTCTGTTCATTCACAGCTGAGTTGGCCTCCCTGCTTTTTTTTTTTTTTAATACATTTTTATTTTGAAATATTTTCACTTTTACAGAAAAGTTGCAAAGCTACTAGAGAGTTTTCATAGACCCTTCACCCAGTTTCCCCTATCGGCTCTTACAGCTCAATTTGTGATACTTTTTACAACAGCATGAGTTATTAAGTCATTTAAGGGACGCTGACTTTCCATTGCACTAAGAGATAGCCCCTTCATTTATAAACTGAGGACTGGCTTTCTATGTGGGAATCACTCTCTGAACCAGATTGCTGAAAACAATCACTAAATGCTTCTGAACAAAGCTACTCTCATCCCCGTTCAAGAAAGAAAACAAAGATAATTACACAGGACCTTCCTAATTCCTTATCCATCCTAGGGTTCTAAATGAGCTTTTTGTATGTCCCAATTTTTTCCCTTTGCCTCTTGAATTTCTTTCCTGTGATTCTAAGGCAATTGGAATTTTGCACAAGTTTTGACAACTGATGGAGTCCTGTTTACATGTCAGCGATGTAATGTGCCAGATTTACTGTGTAATTCTACGTGGAAGGAAGAGAAGGCTGCATTCATGGGGGGTGAGGGGTGGGGCGTGCTGGTTTTGATAGGTGGGCCGTTCGGCAGCGCTCTGCCTGGGCCTGCCTGGAGGAGCCGTGTCATCATCTGGGAGCGGTTCCCAGGGAGAGCTTGGGTCCTCACCCACATACATCAGCTAGTGCCGGCTTGTTGAGGAGCCTTGCTTGCAGGGAGGGCCGGCAAAGGGGTGGCAGGGAAAGTCAGTGCCTCTCCAGTGTGAAAAGATGCAGGATCAGGCACCATGGGAGAAATCTCTTGCAATTTTACCCCATCTGTGCATAGTATAGCCTGGGTTTTACAACTCCCCCCGACCTTTTTTTTTTAAACAGTGAAACTCTTTTTCTTTACAGCACACACAGACACACCCACCCCCGCACGCAGGTACATACACCCATAGGAGAAAGTGCAATACATCAAACAGGCATCAGACCGTTCGTTTTATCTGCAGATGCAGGCCGGCCCTGGCTGAAGGGGCCTGGGTGGCTCTGGGACCCTGTGAGGAACTCAGGTTTCTCGCAGCACATTCAGGAGGCCTTTTCCTGAACATTAAACAATAATTTAATATGCTTTAAATCTCTCTTAAACTAAGCTATAGGAGACTGTGCCCTGGCATAATGTATCTTGGCAAATTAACAAGCAAGACTGTTTTTATTATACCTTGCTTTTTTCACTTGTGTCTGGAGCACATTATATTCCTGCAGTCTCTTTCTTTAAAATATGGCACATCTACAACACCAGCTTTCTTTTAAGGTTTCTGCCATGCATCTACCAGAAAAGTGTTTTTGGGCGCCTGGGTGGCTCCATTGGTTAAGCGTCTGCCTTCGGCTTAGGTCATGATCCCGGGGTCCTGGGATCGAGCCCCTCGTCGGGCTCCGCGCTTAGCGGGGAATCTGTTTCTCCCTCTCCCTCTGTCCCTCTCCCCAGCTCATTCTCTCTCTCACTCTGTCTCAAATAAATAAACAAAATCTTTTTTTTTTTTAAGTGTTTCATTTGAGGTGTACATTTGGGTGACTATCATTGTAGAGAAAAATATTCCATAGGGTCATCTTGAAAGGAAAAGTGGCTTGTTTTTGCATTAAAAGTGGTTTACATTTCCCATCACTTTCCTGACACCGTATTTCTTTATCATTATTGTCTTACTGTGATTGCAGAAAATATTTTTGTAGAATAAGCTAGTCTCGTGCCTCTTGCTGTTTTCCTCAGCCAGACTCACCAGTGAAATTTCATGCTCTGGGTCTGATCCCTTGAGGTCGGCCCTTGGAGGGCTTGTGCAGATATTCCACGTTGTCGATTATTGTGGGATGAGGCAAGAGAGGTGATAGATAAGCAGCTAGAAATGTATTTTTACAGCTCAGGGGACTATTTCTGGGTTGGATCTTGGACCTGGAAAGAAAAAAAAACAACTTTGCTAATTATCGTGCTATTTAGTAAAACTGGAAAGTGTTCTATCCATTAGCAAATCGTATTCAGTTTTAAATGCCCTGATTTTGATAGTTGTACTGTGGTTATATAATTGAATGTCTTTATTCTTAGGACACATATGCTGAAATATTTTGGTGTAACAGTTTATGATTTTCAAATGGTTCAGACAAGTGTATGTATCCATAGGTAGATACACATACAGAGATGGGAAGTGGGGGGGATAAAGGAATTTAGCCATGTTAGCATTTAGGGAATCTCGGCGAAGGGTCCAAGGGGGTGTTTTTGTTGCATTTTTTGCAACTTTTCTGAAAGTCTGAAATTATTTTGAAATGGGGAAAAAAAATTCATGCCAGCTTTTTTTGTGTTTGCTTCGTCAGTCAAACCGGTACCATGTGCAGGCACCAGAACCAGAACACCATCCAAGAACTTCTCCAGAACTGCGCGGATTGTCTGATGCGGGCAGAGCTGATCGTGCAGCCGGTAAGCTTGCTTGTCCTGCTCGAGCATTAGCCACATCTTGCTTTGTTGTTCCCAGTTAGCTTCGACTTATCCCCCTGACCTGTGCTTCCTCACTCACGACCCTCCTTCGCATACTTAGGGTTTAGAGATTATTTTTTCAAAACGGACTAGAGAGGGATGTGTATCTTCTTAACCTAGTTGTCATGTTGGTTTAACAATGGGAACCAGTGCTCACCCAGGTTTTCCCCAGCAGATGTTTACACTACAGATGGCCACCCTTTTGGATTTGCAACAACCCCTTGTTTATTATTATTTGTGTGATTACTGTAATGCTTTCTCTTCCTAGAAACGCAACCTGACACGCGTATGTCACCATGTTGTGAGAACAATTCTATTTGAGAAAAAAAAAAAGAAAGAAAAAGGAAGGAAGGAAAGAAAGAAAGAAAGAAAGAAAGAAAGAAAGAAAGAAAGAAAGAAAACATGCAATTAAAAATTGAGGAAAATGGTAGCATTTATGAAAGCCTCATGATATTTCTGTATATTAGCTTAGGTTCTCATTGAAACAGGCTTAGAAATCCTGGACCCTGCGATGTTGTATGTGTAAAGTTTTTATTTTAAAACACTGTAGCTAGCATTCGAATTTGCTATGGGTTTGCTAAAAACAGACTAGAGAATGGTGGGGCTGTAGACCCCTTCTCTCTCCCTTCCCTAATTCATTGTATCTCCCCGTGAAAGGATTGAGTTCCAGTCTCCCTGATGTGGACATTCATGTAGGGGTTAGACCTGGAATCTGGCCCATCACAAAGTACCCCTGTTAAATATAAAGAGGGATTTTAACCAAGTGAATTTTAAGGGTTCTGTTTGGAGACTATCTTAATGTTCTAATTTCTCAATTTTAGAGATTTGGGTGCGTTCTGGTCGTTTCAAGTCTCTGATTTGCAGCGCACTCCTCATCACAGAGCCGTGATTCCCTTACCCAGAGGAAAACAGGAGGCTCCAGCGACCTAATATTGAACACCTGACCTGGACACGATGTGTAGTGGCTATGGAAACATTTCACATGTGGTTCCAAAAATTTACATGGCATCATGTTCTCAGTGTATTTTTACTTATGTGCATTGAAGTGTAATAACGTCAGGGAAATGTAGCATATTTGCTACCATTTCTGTTAAGAGAAAGAAGGTTCATTTGGCTGAAGCCCAATTAAAGCAGCAAATGTAAAATTCTAAGGGAAAGCTGAAGCTTTATGGTCCTGAAGCAGCAGGCTTCTTTGCATGTGAAAAGAGGACGGTTTCCTTTTCTAGAACAATTTTTTAATTTTAAAATAATTATAGACTCACAAGAAGTTGTAAAAATAGCACAGAGCACTCTTGTGTGCCCATCACCCAGTTTCCCCAAAGGTGACATCTCATATAAGGGTCATGCATCATCAGAAGCAGGAAATCGATTGGCCCAAGACAATGCATTAGATAGCTTCCTTTTTAAGAACTGAAAAGCTATGTTCCTATAAGATGGAGGAAAAGCTCAGTTTGTGTGGAAAAGACCTTATCCAGTACAATAGTACCGTGTTCTTACCCCAGTGAAATTCCCATTGGCTGAACGTCCTGTGTAAATATGAAAGATAGCACTTAACACATTGAAGGAAGGGAAAGATCAGTGTTCCACAAATACACTTTTAAAAGCCTAGTAAAAATTTAAAATACAAAACAAATTTTGCTTCATGAATCCTTCTATATTTACCTGCCTGTCTAAAATTAATACGGTAATTTTCCAGTTAGGAATTTTTTTTTGCAGTCACATGCAAAATGGAAAACTTACACTATTTGTTAAGTTCACAGCAGAAGGTTTTGCTTTCATTAACACAAGTGAAGCTTTTCTCTCCAGCATTTTTGCTCCAGCATAAACACAAGTGAAGCATTCTCTCCACGTGTTTCCTTCATGTGAATTCTTTCCTTCAGGAACTGAAATACGGAGATGGAATACAGCTGGCTCGGAGCAGAGAACTGGATGAGTGTTTTGCCCAGGCCAATGATCAGATGGAAATTACCGATAGCTTGATCAGAGAGATGCGACAGATGGGCCAGCCCTGTGATGCTTATCAGAAAAGGTATTGCCCCTGCCACAGAGCACAGATGCAGGCGGGCCTCCCCACTTATGCTCCATCACACGGCCCAGGTCTTCCCTGGAAGGGGGCACAGCTTCACTTGGCATTTTGTAGCTGTGTCCAAATTGACTAAAATCACTGCCTCCATCTCATGTGGAATCACAAAACTGCCGTGAAAAGAATTACACAGACCTGCCCAAAGGAGCGGGCTTGTACTGAAGGGTTGAGTTTGTTACGAGCTGTTCACCGGACCTCCATTTGGGAAGCAACAACGGCCTTTGGCACAGCATTTGACTTTTAAGAGTCCAATACCAAGTCAAGCATGGTTTCATGCATACAAAAATGAGACTTGTAGAGTTGGGAAAGCAGGTTAAAGTAGAGACAGGTAGTCTTGATTTTGCTGTCATGGTACCCGGGGCCCAGGATACGAGGCAAATTCCCCGGGTGAAATTTGGGGGGAAAGCAGAAGGTGCTACCAGGTTAGGCAAAGCTAGCTACACTTGCCATGATGTTTCAGACTCTGAGCATCATAATATTGAGGTTTCTGTATGTCATTGAGAATTCAAGTCATGTGGTAAAGAATTCTTCAAATCAAACATTTGTGATCTCCATCCCAACAATAAAGGAGACTCAGAAGGGGGGACATTTGCCCAGAACATGGGGTCATAGGCGGTTTTCGTGCAACAGTGTGATTGTGTTCCTTTCTTTTCAGACTGCTTCAGCTCCAGGAGCAAATGCGAGCCCTTTATAAAGCCATCAGTGTCCCTCGAGTCCGAAGGGCCAGCTCTAAGGGTGGTGGAGGGTACACCTGTCAGAGTGGCTCTGGGTGGGATGAATTCACCAAGCGCCTCACCAGCGAATGTCTGGGGTGGATGAGACAGCAGAGGGTAAGCAGCTTCCAGACGAGGTTGATTCTCAAATGTTCCAAGCCTGAGTGGGTCAGGTGTATAGAACGTGGCAGGGCCAGCCCCATTGCTCTGGCCACAGAGTGCTCTGGGATCTCAGCTGGCAGCAGAAACGTGCTGTTTTCCGTATTTTCCTCAAATATAATTTATTTTTATTTTTTTATTTTTTAGAGAGAGAGAGCGTTTGTGCGCTTGTGAGCGAGTGGGGGAGGGACAGAGAGAGAGAGAGAGAATCCTAAGCAGGCTCCATACCCAGTGTGGAGCCCATTGTAGGGCTTGATCTCACAACCCTGAGATCATGACCCGAGCCAAAATCAAGAGTTGGATGCCTAGCCGACTGAGCTGCCCAGGCGCCCCGCCTCATATGTAATTTAAATTGAAGGCTTCTATTTTGAAATAAATAAAACTTCAGACAGTTTTTTTTTTTTCTTTCTTGTGGCTTAGGAAATGAGCCACATTATTTTCTGGTCAAAACTTATCGCACAGGTAACATTTAACAGGTATAACTTAATTAGTAGACTTTGAATATCTAGCTTTTACTGTTCACGACCTGAAAATGTGTTGGAGTTTATGTGCTAAAAACTTCATTGTTCTACCTGAGTGGTAAGTGACCTCATCTATGTTACTGATAGGTACTTAAAAAAATTGTGGTGGAGGTTCATTTAAAATGTTAAATCAGAGGAACTGGAAACACAGTAAAACTGGATATTCTGGTTTGGGCTCATCGGTTGCTTACCTTATATTTTTGAGGTATCAGTTGTTCTTGTGCAATCATTATGTTACGGGTGTGGGAGGGGAGTGAAATAATGGCCACCAAAGTATATGCCGAGCCTTTCCCCGCAACTGCAGTTTCTACAAAGTGTTTTCCCCTGCTAATTATTGTTGTGTGGTTTTATGTGGTCATTACGCCCTTTGATGAACAGGTGGCATTAGAAATATGCCATAATCATGTAGATGGGAATTGTATAATGAAAACCTCATGCTAGTGAACCATCCTTCTCTGGAGAAGGTGGATGCGTTAGATTGATAAATTGTACCGACATAGTTTGTGATGCCATGTGGTTGTGGTTGTAAGAAGTATTGGGCTTATTGCTTGTTGTTGGACCAGTTGAGCAGTGGTTCTAAAGTTTCTCAACCACTTGAGATTTTTTGTATGTGTTCTTTCCTAAGTGGTGGTGAGGGTTTATGGGTCTATACATTCATTCATTCAGTTAGCTAAGTTTTTCTCCCACTTAGCATAAAGACTACGCAATACTATCACAGAAGGTGGGGTTTATAGAGGAGAAAAGTCAGTAATAATCCCAGAAACCTAACTATGGTCCTATTTGCATATTTTCAAATTCCCTTTTGATCTTTGAACACACATTTCTTGAGCTACATTTTATATGTATTGGCACCATACCTGAAAGTGAGTGTTCAAAAACTGTGTTTCCTAGTCCTGAAAGTGAATATTATTGACGAAAACAAGACATGTACACCCACATGCCACATTTCTGTCCGGAGCAGTGTGGGGTTAATTGCTGTTTGAGCTGTAATAAAATCCTGCTCAGACAGGGCTGGGGGAGGGGTGGTGCTCTGGGCCCTGGGGAATGGAGCCCTGAAAAGAAGGCTTGGCAGAGCTGATGGGGCTTGAACTACATTGTAAGTGATGTTATGTGAGAACACCCTTTGAACCAAATAACTTACGAAACCTCAAATCCCTTAATTTCTCCTTAGTATGACAGTTACATAAAAGGACAGCTCATAATCGGTCGTTTTCCGCATTCACGCTGGGTGTAGCTTTGTGAGACTCCTTTGTCAAGAAAGCTCAGCATCTTCTAAGTTTTTGGAAAATGGCATTATCTCGTGGGCTCAGTTTTGTGTCTCGGTGGGGGAGTATTTTTTAATAGGTGCAACTGATGAGCGAAGCACTTCAGATCAGCTGGCCCCCAGGGTTTCAAAGGAACTAAAAGTCGTTTTATCACTTACTGCCTGTTTGCTCTGGGATTCTCTGGGGCCCTTTACCTCTTATCCTTCTTCCCCCAAGCATAGCCCGCATTCTTTCTCACTCCCGAGGGACTGAGCTGCAGGCCCAGCTAGCTGATAAGGGAGCAGCGTCCCTCGAGGCCCCATGACCAGTAGGCAGTCACACATCTCCTGTGCCAGGCTTTTGTTTTGTTTCCCTGATTTGTGCTTCTGTTGATGGACAGGTCAGATGCTGCACAGGTACCTGGCTGGTAATGAGGGGCGGGCACGGGAGCCTGGTCATCTATTATCTTCCCGGTGTACTCACGTGTTTCTGCTTTAAAGCCCAAGTGAGCCGAGGGACAGACAGGTCAAAGTCCTAGGTAACTTTCGGGAGTCTGGCTGAAATGGCTCCCCTCTCTGAAGGCTCGCCAAGTGTATTAGGACATGGATGTGGCTTAGAACAATGTGTGTTATGTTCTTGCAGCAATACCAGACTGGAATGTTTGCCCTTGGCATGTCCAAGAGATGAGACAGGTGATTTGGAAATCTACATGAGCTCATGCACAAGAAAGATGAGATGATAGGCTTGTGGAATAGAATGCTTGATTCTTATTATGTGGCGTTCTTAAATTTGAAGTAGGGGAGACTCAAATTAGAAAGGCAGTCAGATTTAACTTTTAAAGAGCTCACATAAATCTGCCATCTTTTTTATTTATTTTTATTTTTATTTTTCATTTTGTTATATTGTGTTAGTCACCATACAGTACATCATTAGTTTTTGATGTAGTGTTCCATGAATCATTGTTTGCGTATAACACCCAGTGCTCCATGGAATACGTGCCCTCCTTAATACCCATCACCAGGCTAACCCATCCCCCCACCCCCCTCCCTCTAAAACCCTCAGTTTGTTTCTGAGTCCATAGTTTCTCATGGTTCATCTCTCTCCCTCCAATTTCCCCTCTTCATTTTTCCCTTCCTTCTCCTAATGTCCTCCATGTTATTCCTTATATATATTCCACAAATAAGTGAAACTTATGACTTTCTCTGCTTGACTTATTTCACTTAGCATAATCTCCTCCAGTTCCATCCATGTTGATGCAAAAGTTGGGTATTCATCCTTTCTGATGGCTGAGTAATATTCCATTGTATGTATGGACCACATCTTCTTTATCCATTCATCTGTTGAAGGGCATCTCGGCTCCTTCCACAGTTTGGCTATTATGGACATTGCTGTTATGAACATTGGGGTGCATGTGGCCCTTCTTTTCACTACATCTGTATCTTTGGGGTAAATGCCCAGTAATGCAGTTGCTGGGTCATAGGGTAACTCTATTTTCAACTTTTTGAGGCACCTCCACACTGTTTTCCAAAGTGGCTGTACCAACTTGCATTCCCACCAACAGCGTAAGAGGGTTCCCCTTTCTCCACAACCTCTCCAACATTTGTTGTTTCTTGCCTTGTCAATTTTTGCCATTCTAACTGGTGTAAGGTGGTTTTGATTTGAATTTCCCTGATGGCTAATGATGATGAACATTTTTTCATGTGTCTGTTAGCCATTTGTATGTCTTCTTTGGAGAGGTGTCTGTTCATGTCTTCTGCCCAATAAATCCGCCATCTTAATATTGCCAACATTAATTGAAATGAGCTCTGAGTATGCTCTATAGTAACTTCTCTTTGAAATGGGTTATAGGGAGTTGGGCATCCTGAAAGGTAATGGTAAACGCTGAATTTAAAGAGTCGATAATTACAGGAATCAAAATAATTTAAAGGAATAAACAATGAAAAATATGTTTAAGTTGGCTGTTTAGCTTGGGACATAGTACATGACTGAGCTTAATGAACTATTTCACAGTTTAAAATGACTGAATATAGAAACTTCTACCAGTAATTTCTAACGTGTCATATGTAGATATGCACACCTATTATACACACACACACACACACACACACACACACACACAC